CTTAGGCACATGAAAAGTGGCCCTAGTTGGTAGTGAACTGATTCTTTGGCTGAGATGTATCCTTTCAATAACTTGAAAAGTAGAAAGGCAGACTTAGGGGTTCTTGTGGTCACAGATGTGTTCCCTTTTTTGGGGGTGAGACATACGGAATAACAACATGCATGGGCTCATTTGTAAAAAAAAAAAAAAAGTGCTTATCTGGAAGACAAGTGTCAAATGTGAATAGTGATTATCCATGGATTAGCGCATTTTGGTGTGTTGCTTTCCTGATGGAATATTGTTTTAATGAAAACGGATCAAATGAGGACATTGATGGGTGAAAACTATGAGGAATTGACTTTGATATTCTTAACTGCATCAGCAGAAATTTTAAAAAACTTTCGAAACCACTTGCTGCATGAGCTAGGTGTTGAAGGGAAACAGCTCACATGTATTCTCAGATATATTAATAAAAGGACAGTAGAATAGAGCTGTTCCAGCCTTATTGCGTGTTTTCTTCCTGAGTAAAAATAGGAACTTGTGTATTGGTGGTCATCCTGACATGAAACTACAAGATCCTTCCCCACAGGATCATCCTACCCTGAAACCTGGAACCAAATCCATTCCCATTCAGCAAATGTTGATCAAGTGGCACATAGGGGATAGAGAGATGATTGCATACAAAAATGAGAAAGAAAACAGATTGCTAGGGCCAGGTGCGGTGACTCACCTGTATAATTCCAGCACTTTGGGAGGCCAAGGCAGGTAGGATTGCTTGAGTTTGTGAGTTCGAGACCAGCCTGGGCAACATAGTGTAAGATCTTATGTCTACTTAAAATAAATAAAAAGAATCAGCCAGGCATGGTGGTGTGTGCCTGTAGTTCTATCTACTTTGGGAAGCTGAGGCTAGAGGATCACTTGGGCCCGGCACATTGAAGCTGCAGCGAGCTGTGATCGCATCACTGCACTCTAGCCTGGGTGACAGAAGGAGACCCCATCTCAAAAAAGTTTGCCAGTAGGCAGGATAGGTATCAAATGTGAAGAAAAAAAAAATGCTTAAGATACTTGGAGATGACAAGTAAATCATCTTCCAATTTTACAGATTTTATGGAAAGAACTCTTCTTATGTCCATGGGGGATTGGATTCAAATGGAAAGCCAGCAGATGCCGTCTATGGACAGAAAGTAAGCATTTCAAACTTTATTTAGGCTGTTAAGCAGGTAGAAAACTCAAAATTGAAGTGGATACATACAAAATAGATTTGCTGATAAAGATCAAATTTCTCAACTGTTTAGTAAACGTTGATGTATTTTATTACTATTTGATTAATGTATTTGTTGAAATGCCTATATGATGTCAGATTTGTCAATTTTGTATGATAATCTAAAGCTTTTTTATATTGGAAGATAATTGGCTTTAGCATAGGGATCATCTTTTTAAACTTTAAAGTATTAATTCAGGGCAGTTATTTAAAAAACTCAAATGTGGTCACTGGGAATAGAGTATACAAAGAAAAATCAAATATAGTCGGCATATCCTGTAATTTGAATATGCACATTATCTTTAACTGTATTGTGTTGGTAGTTTTTTAATTGGAGATTATTTAAATTTTAAGGCATTCACAATTGATTTTTTTTTTTTAAGGAAATCCACAGGAAAGTGATGTCTCAAAACTTCACCAACTGCCACACCAAGATTCGCCATGTTGATGCTCATGCCACGCTAAATGATGGTGTGGTAGTCCAGGTGATGGGGCTTCTTTCTAACAACAACCAGGCTTTGAGGAGATTTATGCAGACGTTTGTCCTTGCTCCTGAGGTATGTATAAGTATGATTGTTTTGTAGTGATAAAATACATGAAAAAAAACAATGAATGGTTGTCTATATCTTTACAAACACTTGAAATTTCAGACTTAAAACTTGGAAGACTAATACAATAACTCCTATATGCAGCTGCCCTTACCAAGAGCAGCTGTCACCACTTCCACATGTATATAGTTCTCTATAAGAATGAAGAATTCTCTTCCATTTTATAGTACAGTTATCAAATTCAGGAAATGATGCAATATGATTATCTATAATCCATATTTAAAATTTGGAAAGTATCTCAGTGTCTTTTAGTGATTTTTTTTCCTTGCCCAACATGGACTCTATACTTAACACATTGCATTTATCTGTCATGTCTCTAATCTCTTCTAATAGGCAACTGTTTCTTAAATCTTTTGGGTTTTTTTATGGCAATAACATTTCTGAAGTGCACAGTCACTTTTTTTGTAGGATGCTTTATGTGTGTCATTCAGTGCTTCCCATTAAAGAGGCACATTATGTCATTTAGTTGTGATATGAATTTTGATTACTTAGATTTTTTCACTGTAAAGTTAAATATCTTTTCTCTCTCTCTTTTTTTTTTTTTTTTTTTTTTTTTTTTTTTTTTTTTTTTTTTTTTTTTGAGATGGAGTCTCACTGTATAATCCAGGTGGGAGTGCAGTGGCTCCATCTCTGTTCACTGCACCCTCCACATCCAGGGTTCAAGTGACTCTCCTGCCTCAGCCTCCCAAGTAGCTGGGACTGGCTGGGCTATTTTAATATTTTTAGTAGAGATGGGATTTCACCATGTTTTTCAGGCTGGTCTCTCTAACTCCTGACCTCAAGTGATCCACCTGCCTTGGCCTCCCAAAGTGCTAGGATTACAAGGATGAGCACTTCACCTGGCATCTTATGTTTTCTCTTTTTGATTTGTAAATAAAGGATGGGCGATTCTGTACCTTTTAATTTTTTTTGAACATTACGGCACAAGATGTTCCAGGTTCATCTTGCATTGTTCCTGCCCCAACTCCTATTCTTGAATCAGTTGTTCTTTCAAGGAGGCTTGGTTCTTTTTAGTTATGCTTAGGAAAGGACAAGTTTATGTTGAATGATTGCATTTGTGTTTTCTTCTGGATTGGTCCAGACTGAACAAAGTTAGGAAGCCTGTTTGCTTAAGCGTATATGTAGAAATGGCACAGTAAGAGCTTGTTGAATAAATCATTGTTTGCTCTAGCATTAATCTTAAATTTTCTTTTTAAGATAGCAAACCTAAAGTGCTTAAAATCTTTTAACCTTTGAATATAAGATAACTTTTTGTCTATTTGCAAAATTATGTGAAGCCATTATAGTCATGATTTTTAGAGGAAGACTTAGATTAAATGTAAAGATGTGGTAGACTTCTGAATATGCAAAGAATCATGTGTATGATTGTCAGTTATAGGTTTATTATAGTTTTTTCTTTTAAAGGAAGTGTCTAACTTCTTAGTCTAATATGCTATTATATAGACTGTCTCAGTTAATACACAAAATATTAAGGTATATGTTGATATCCTTTTTTTTTTCTTTTTGAGATAAGGGTCTCCCTGAGTTGCCTAGGCTGAAGTGCTGTGGCAGGATCATGACTCACTGCAGCCTTGACTGCCTGGTCTCAAATGATAATCCCACCTCAGCCTCCCAAGTAGCTGGGACCACAAGTGCAGGCCACCATTCCTGGCTGATTTTTGTTTTTGTAGAGACTACAGAAAACTCACTATAAGTTGCCCAGGCTAGTCTCAAACTCCTGGGCTTAAGCAGTTCTCCTACCTCAGACTCCCAAGTTGTTGGGATTTCAGAAGTGACCCATGGTGCCTGCTGATACCTCTCTTTTTACAGATGAGTAACAGCCTTAGAAACTGAATAACTCATAAATGACATAATTGGATCTGTACTCAGGTGTATCTAGTGTGAGCAAGATTTTTCAGGCTACACTACCCTTGCATGTTTGTATCAGTATTTTCAGATATACTTTTGGGGAATTTTAAATATCTGCTGAAGTTAGGAATATGATCGCCTTTTTTTTTTTTTTTTTTTAAGACAAGGTCTTGCTCTGTTGCCCAGGCTTCAGTGCAGAGGCGCAGTCTTGGCTCACTGCAACCTCCACCTCCTGGGTACAAGTGATCCTCCTGCTTCAGCTTGCCCAGTAGCTGATAGTACAGGCATATGCCACTATGCCTGGCTCATTTTTGTATTTTTAGTAGAGATGGGGTTTCACCATATTGGCCAGGCTGGTCTCAAACTTCTGACTTTAGGTGATCTGCCCTCCTTGGCCTCCCAAAGTCCTGGGATTACAGGCATGAGCCACTGCGCCTGTCCGGAATATGACTGCCTTTTAATGATTTGAGATGTGGGTTGTGGCATCTTACATACTTAGATTTTGTCAGTTTTGGGATGTTTATCTTGTGAGGTAAAGTATTTTGAGCAAACAAAATATATGTGAGTGTAGTCTTTTTACCATCTGTTGTAGACCAGGCATTTTCAGTTTTGGCACTGTTGACATTTTGGATCAAGAATTCTTTGTTAACGGTAGCCTGTCCTGTGCATTGTAGGTTATTGAGTGCATCCCTGACCTTATTAGTTGTCAGTAGTATCCCCTGTAGTGAATATTGAAATGTTGGGAGGGCATGCTGACTTACACACGTAATTCAGAATTTTCAGAGGCTGAAGCAAGAGGGCCACTTGAGCCCAGGAATTAAAGACCAACTAGGGCAATATAACAAGATCCTGTCTCAACTCAAAAAAAAAAAAAAAAAAGAAGAAGGAGAAATAGCCTTGCATGGTGGTGTGCCCCTATAGTCCTAGCTATTTAGGAGGCGGCAGGATTGCTTGAGCCTGGGATGTCAAGGCTGCAGTGAGCTGTGATGTGCCATTGCATTCCTGCTTGGGTAACAGCAAGACCCTGTCTCAAAAGCCCCGTAGCAACAAAAACTGAAATGTCTCCAGATATTGCCAGATGTCTCCTGGAGGTAAAGTTGTTCCAATCACCAATGATATAGAGTGATTGCACTTTTTAAAAGTCTGTGGAATAAATGAAAACTTTCTATTGGCATTGCAGGGGTCTGTTGCAAATAAATTCTATGTTCACAATGATATCTTCCGATACCAGGATGAGGTCTTTGGTGGGTTTGTCACTGAGCCTCAGGAGGGTAAGTAGTGAAATACTTTAAGTTACTTGTCTAAATTTTTTTAAATGATATCAAATTGCCCTTAAGAGACTATGGGTTTCTTCACTGTTTTCATTATACTCTGTTTTTCGTTAATAACTGGTAATTATCATGGCACATGAAGAGTCCGAGGTTTTACCCTACTTGAAGCTGCTAACAGGTTAGCTTACATCATGGATGCTAGTAGAAGACATAAGACTCTTAGTTCAGAAGGAGGTAGGTTAACTCACAGCAGCAGCAGTAGCATTTTTGCCACATTTACCAACAGGATGTCATGAAGAAGGCTGGATGATACTTCTGCAGTGGGTTGTGTTAAAGGCATGGGACATTGAGTTTAGGGAACACAAATTTTTTATAACATGCAGTAAACATACCTACTCTTTGTTCTGGAGGGAGGCACTCTTTCAAAGCTGTGTGCTATACAAATGTTCTTGAAAGACAGTCTGGAAGAAAGGGTAGGTATAGAAGATGTGTAGACACAGAGACTTGTGGAAAATTTTCTCCAAGATAAAATTTGAGCGTGTTTTGTGTGACTGAGAATGTATTTATGTGTGTGTGTGTGTGTGTGTGTGTGTGTGTGTGTGTGTGTGTATATATATACATAAATATAAATAAAATGTTTATATTTTATTTAATATTAATATTAATATATAATTAATATTATAAATATAATGTATATTTGTAATATAGTCTTACAGATGTGCAGTCATTTGCTTAGCTAGTAAAGTGGTAGAGCCTGCATTAGATAACTGTCTAATGTAATTTGCCTAATGTCATGAGCCAGTAAGGTGACAGAGCCTGCATTAGGCTCCATGCTCTTAAAAACCAAGACACTACAGTAGTCTTAAAATCTAACCTTAAAAGCCTTAATTCTGCCCTTAAAGTCAATGCTGTGATTTTACCAAATTGCCCTACTTTGTTTACTTATATATGTTTCTCTTCATTGTTGTTTTGTGAACATTGTGAAAGTGAATGTGTATGTGAATTCAGTAAGTACAAATTACTTTAAATATCTTTTCCTCACTTAGAGTCTGAAGAAGAAGTTGAGGAACCTGAAGAAAGACAGCAGACACCTGAGGTGGTACCTGATGATTCTGGAACTTTCTATGATCAGGCAGTTGTCAGGTAAAAAAATTTTGTTCACATGTCCAGGGCTGCATAAGAACTTGCATTATCTAGTCTTTCCATTTGTTGGAGGGCATTTACATATTCTGAGAACTACCTCAAAATAATTTCTCAGAAGAATGGTTTTACTTCTGGTAATTTTGATGAAACAGAAATACATAACTTGTTTATTAGTAGATTGTACTGTGAGGACAATCTATTGCTTAGTTTAAATAGTGTCAGTTGCTATTTGCTTAATTTAAATAGTATCAGTTGCTTTTTGGTTTAGTTTTTTCTTGGTGTTAAGTGAAAACTTGAATATTGTTTATCAAAAGGTGAATATATTGAGATGTTAAATGCTTTGAGGGAATAAAAAGTGGACAGAGACCTATTTAATTAGAGATCAGGCATAAATTTATCTAAATACCAATATGTGAGTTAAGTAGCAATAAAGAATTTTATTACCTTAGTAAGTGCCTCATTGTACCTTTGGGTTTATTCTCCCCTGTGATTGGAACAGAAATATGTTTGATAGCACTAGAAATCCATATTTACTTGTTACCGTGTGATGCACTGAATGTTAATTAGTGCCTGAAGGGTGTTTTCAAGTGTTTCTTAAGGTGTGATGAGCTAATCAGGCTATTCAACTTTGGTTGCTGGTTCAAAATGAAGATTCATGGTTCCACTGCAAACCTACTGAAATAGAATTTCAGGAGGAAGAACATTTGCAGTTTTGTTTTTGTTCTTTTGAGACAGAGTCTTGCTCTATTACCCAAGCTGGAGTGCAGTGGCACTGACTGCAACCTCTGCCTCCTGGGTTCAAGCAGTCCCCCTGCCTCAGCCTCCTGAGTAGCTGCAACTATAGGCGCTTGCCACCACGCCTGGCTAAATTTTGTATTTTTTTCCACCTGATTTTGGTTAAAAAAAATTTTTGTATTTTTGTAGAGATGGGGTTTTGCCATGTTGGCCAGTCTGGTCTGGAACTCCTAACCTCGGGTGATCTGCCCACCTTGTCCGCCCGAAGTGCTGGGATTACAGGTGTGTGCCCAGCCACCTCTGCAGTTTTAACAGCATTCCTGGTTGATTTATGTGGAATTTTAAGAATTGTATTCTGAATCATAACTAATATCTTTTCTCCCCCTAATTCCTTAATGTGCTTAAGAGTTTTTTTGTGTTTGTGTTAAAAGCCAAATATAAAATTTGCCATCTTAACCTTTTTTTTTTTTTTTTCATTTTAACTGTTTTTAAATATAAAGTGCAGTAGTGTTAACTGTTACAGACATGTTGTACAACAGAGCCCGAGGACTTTTCACCATACAGACAGACTAAACCCATTGAACGGCAACTTCCTTTTCCCCTCTCCCCAGCTTGTTTTGAGAGTTTTTGTGATGGTGTATGCTAAATGAATTGTAACGGTTGTGGGATTCCAACCATACAGTGATTTGGTTCATTTTGATCTCTTGATTCATTTGCTTATCAGAATCTATCAAACAAATGGATTCCAGTTATTGAGTGGTATTTTTTAAATTACTTTTTAAAAACTCAGACATACAATTTTTAGATTTTTTTTTTTTGGACAGAAGGAGCTAATTTTATGTTCTGGTTTCTGGTTAATAAATGATGGGAAGTTTTTTGCAAAATAAATGGTGGCAGGTGGCAGAATGATATTTCTCAAATTTTTCTCTTAAAGTAATGACATGGAAGAACATTTAGAGGAGCCTGTTGCTGAACCAGAGCCTGACCCTGAACCAGAACCAGAACAAGAACCTGTATCTGAAATCCAAGAGGAAAAGCCTGAGCCCGTATTAGAAGAAACTGCTCCTGAGGATGCCCAGAAGAGTTCTTCTCCAGCACCTGCAGACATAGCTCAGACAGTACAGGAAGACTTGAGGGTATGAAACATGTCTTCATTTTTGTTCTATTTCTAGTTATTAAAAAAAAAAAACTGTTCTTCTGTATTACTGTTTGGTTGACTTTTGTAGATACATTTTCATATTGGTGGTTCATTTCAGGGAAATTTCTTAGATATTGAGCCATGCCTTTGATAAGAGAGAGGTAAGATGTGTATTAACTTTGTTTCATCAAAAGAAACTACTCCTTCCCCATAGCTAACTTCAATACCTGTTAGGCCAGAAATTATAAGTGCCACTGTATAACCACATCAGTGATCCCTCATCTTTTTAATATTTTAATCTTTTATGCCATAAATTATTACATGCTTGTTAAAACAAGTGCCATAACAATCTTTTTTAGAAAAATAACATGGCAGAATATACTTTTCCTATGAAGTTTTATTGAAGATAACTTTATAGTAGAAGTAGAAATGAACTGCTGAAGTAAAACTTTTCTAGTTGGCATAGCTGATTTCAGAAGTTTTCAGTTTGTCCTCCTGAATCTCATCAGGGTGATATGTTAAAACTCAAGAAACCTTTACATTTGATGCTCTGGGAAGTAATATAATTTTTAGTGCTGTATTTATAGGTTCAGGCTTATAGCATTTGTTCGTTCAACAATTCACATTTCTGCTGTGTGTTTGGCATTGTTCAAGGTATAGGTATTTTATTTGTAAAACAGAGTTCTTGCTCTCTGGCAGCTAAGAAATGAGTAGGAAAAGCAATGTGGAAATGACGTTAGCTTACAAGTAGAAAACACTAGCTGGGCATGGTGGTGCCTGTGTGGTGTCAGCTACTTGAGGGGCTGAGGTAGGAAGATCGCTTAGCCTGGGAAGTCAAGGCTATAGTGAGCTGTGATTATGCCACTGCACTTTAGCCTGAGTGATAGAGTAAGACCTTGTCACAAAAACAAAACAATAAAAAGTAAATGGAAAAGTAGGTTGGCTGGACTAGATGACCACTTAGGTGGCTGTTATAGTAACCCTAGTGAGAGAGAATGATGCCTTGAATTTCAGTTGTGGCAGTGGAAATGGAAAAGAGATAATTAGGTAGAATAACAGGTTCTGAAGATTTTTAATTGTGTTAGAAAGGTGTTTGTGATGGTTCTGCAGTTGATATAATTGAGTCAGTGTTTGTACCATGGATTGGATTGAATCGTACTAGGAAGAGCTGAGCTGATTTTGGAGGAGAGGGAATTTTATTTGATTGACAGATTTGAAGGAAAACAGTTTTCCATGGGCCAGGCGTTGTGGCTCACACATGTAATCCCAGCACTTTGGGAGGCTGAGGCAGGAGGATTGCTTGAGTTCAGGAGTTCAAGACCAGCCTGGTTAATATAGTGAGACTTCATCTCTACTAAAAAGAAGAAATAGCTGGACATGTTGGTACATGCCTGTAGTTTCAGCTGCTTGGGAAACAAGTGAGAGGATTACTTTAGCCCAGGAGATGGAGGCTATGGTGAGGTGTGTACATGTCACTGCATTCCAGCCTGGACAACAGATCAAGATCCTGTCTCAAAAAAAAAAAAAGTAAATAGTTTCTTGACCCTAAGCCTCTCAGATTTGCCTGGTACTTGATCATCAGTCCCAAGGAATTTCACTACTAAATTTTGAATAGTTGAAAGAGAGGAATCTTAATATGTATATAAACTCCATCCTGCATATGAGAATGTGATACCATTTGTTATGTACAGGAAATCAAGAGTTGGTGGCTTTTATATTGTTTTGTTACATGGTATAATTATGTAATGCTGGTAATTGTTCCCTTAGACATTTTCTTGGGCATCTGTGACCAGTAAGAACCTTCCACCCAGTGGAGCTGTTCCAGTTACTGGGATACCACCTCATGTTGTTAAAGTACCAGCTTCACAGGTAAGGTTCTAATAAAACTTGTCCATTAGGCAGATTTACTTACATTTTCGTAATGTGATTCAACAGAGGCTTAGAGAGTGTGGAAACTGGCCAGGTGCAATGTGGCTCATGCCTGTAATCCCAATACTTTAGGAAGCCAAGGTGGGCTGATCACTTGAGCCTAGGAGTTTGAACCCATTCTGGGCAATATAGTGAGATTCTGTCTCTAAAATAAAATCAGCTGGGCCATGTGGCATGCATCTGTAGTCCTAGGTACTTGGGAAGTTGAGGTAGGAGGATTGCTTGAGCCCAAGAGATTGCTTGAGCCACTGCACTGCCTCCTGGGCAACAGCGTGAGACTTTGGCTGTCACACACACAAAAACATTAATGTATAGGGCAGAAGAGAAAAGGGTATAAGATAGTTTTTAATGATTTTTCTTGTGAGAGAAGTGTCCATTTTCTAGTTTAAACCTTGTTAACTAAGACAATTAAGAGAAAGAATAAGCCTGTTTTGTTTTAGCACAAAAGTTAACTTAAAAATTTTTCAGCCCCGTCCAGAGTCTAAGCCTGAATCTCAGATTCCACCACAGAGACCTCAAAGGGATCAAAGAGTGCGAGAACAACGAATAAATATTCCTCCCCAAAGGGGACCCAGACCAAGTAAGAGCTCAGAAGGGCAATTTCTCTAGTTTGGGGTATTTTGAGGTGAGAGCTTATTTTGGGAGGGCAGTTGATATTTATATACTTTAAAATAAAAATTTTTAGGGTTGATGGAATTACCTGTTTTTAGGGTAGAGGGAAAACTATTGACTGTGAGCAGTCACTGAAAGGTGTCTTCTTTCTCTTGGCTTTCATTGATGTTTTTGTTTCCTTTTAAGTCCGTGATGCTGGTGAGCAAGGTGACATTGAACCCCGAAGAATGGTGAGACACCCTGACAGTCACCAACTCTTCATTGGCAACCTGCCTCATGAAGTGGACAAATCAGAGCTTAAAGATTTCTTTCAAAGTAGGTTATTTAGGTTTGAACATTACATTCATCTGTTGTCGCTCTAGCACTGTACAGTGGAAATAGAAAATGGGCCATATATGTAATTACACATTTTTTAGTAGTCATGGTTAAAAAAACAAAACAATAAAAAGAAACTGGATAATTTTAATACATTTCACTCTAAAGCATTGTAATTTCAACATGCAGGAATATTGTGAGATATATTTTACACTTTTTAATAAGTCTTTGAAATCCAAGTGTACTTCCCATAATTTTATACATATGAGAGGCACATCTCAATTCAGATTAGCTACATTTATATTTCAAGTGCTCAGTAGTCATGCATCTAGTGGCGACTGTGTACATGTAATATTTAAAAGGGAATGGTGTAAGTAGTTATCTGAGAATCTGTTTCACTTGCAGATTATGGGAACGTGGTGGAGTTGCGCATTAACAGTGGTGGGAAATTACCCAATTTTGGTTTTGTTGTGTTTGATGATTCTGAGCCTGTTCAGAAGGTCCTTAGCAACAGGGTAAGCAGCTATTCATCTTGATTTTTGTTTGTTTGTTTATTTTAAAGGGTTTTGGTTCTTTAGAGTATCTTTATAGCTGGATCTTTATGTAAAGTACAGTTTATTCCAACATGTTTGGGTAATTTATTTCATTATTTTCAGCCATTATTAAAAGACCTGCCTGGGGCTTTAGCAAAACAAAATTTCTGTCTAAATAACTTAGTTTTTGATAATGGGAATTACGAGAATGAGAAAACGAATAGTTATCAGTGCACTGAGATTTATGTAACCATCTTTCCTTGGTGTTACAGGAGATGTTCAAGAGATGAAATACCAAGCTACTTTTAACTAAGATAAGAGCCAGTTTGCCCAAGGCAGTTTTGGTATACTGCTGTTTTTAGAGAATAACTATTAAAAGTTTCTCCTTTAAGTCAATAAATTGGGTTTGGAAGATAAATTATGTAGTCACCCTACTTGGAACCACTCTTATTAACAGTACTCTTACTGTGTACATTCTAATAATAGAGGAATTTTGGAATGGGAATCTTAACGGTGGGAGCCCCAAAGAAAGCTTCCCTTCCCTTGCAAAGAACTACTTTTTGTAGTAGTAGAAAAGAACAAGTGTATAAATAATACTAATTTATTAAGCTGTACTTTTTTCATTGAGGTGAAATTTACGTAACAAAATTGACCGTTTAAAAATGTACAACTTAATTGCATTTAGAACACATTGCTTTGCAACCATTACCTCTAATTCCAAAAGATTTTTACTAAAAGCCATAAGCTCTCTACTCACTAAGCAGTCATTCCTTGTACTTGTCTCCCCAGCCCCTGGCAGCCACTAATCTGCTTTCTTCCCTGCGGATTAAAACTATGTACTTTAAGCCATATAATAGAAACATTGCAGATCAGTGATATTCTCCAGAATGTTAATGGGCATACTGCCTTTTTTTTTTTTTTTTTTTTGGGACACGGTCTTGCTTTGTCTTCCACGCTAGTGTGCAATGGCATGATCTCGGCGCACTGCAACCTCCACCTCCCAGGTTCAAGCAGTTCTCTAGCCTCAGCCTCCTGAGTAGCAGGGATTACAGGCGTCCACCACCACGCCTGGCTAATTTTTTGTGTTTTTAGTAGAGACGGAATTGTGCCATGTTGGTCAAGCTGGTTTCTAACTCCTGACCTTAGGTGATCTGCCCGCCTTGGCCTCCCAGAGTGCTGGTATTACAGGGATGAGCAACCACACCTGGCCATATTGCAAAGTTTAATGCTATGTTCATAACATTATGTCAGCCTTAATATGCTAATGTATGTTATCTTTCAAATTATTTGACCACATATTTTTGTGAAGCATCTCCTGCAAAATACTGTTGAGAAATGAGAGAACAGTGGTTTATCTCACCAAAGCCAGTGAAGAACCCAGAAATGTCCAGTATGCTTTGTAGATAAATCCATCATTCAGCATGTATTAGATCGTGTGGTCACCCTTCATTTCATGGTGTTTGTAGATGTGTACTATGCTCCCTTCAGTAATTTTTTTTGTGTGAGTGGAAATAGCTTATGTAAGACTGATTGCTCTGGTATACGACATGTTGTAGTGTAGCTTTGTAGTTCAAAGCTTATTTTTCCCAATCTGGAGGCCTTGGTTTACATTCTTCTATCACTCATTATTGTAGTGACCCATGGGAAAAGTTCTTTAACCTCCCTAGATCTTAGTCTTTCTAGTTCTTAAAGAGGTATCAAGTATCAGAGGGTTGTTGTAAAGGTTAACTGAGCTAATAAATTTGAATAGAACACTTCACTGACATATAGTAAGCACTGATAGATATTCATTTTAAGAAATTAGAAAATTATATTGCTGGTAAAGAGCATGAATTGAATTTATTGAAATGTTTGGTAGCCTGTTAACTACACTGGCTCTGTTAGGAGGAAAAGAAGACCAAGACTATCCAAAATTCTTAGAAGGTGAACAGCAAGTTAAAGTTTGTCAAATCAATGAAGGTTTTATTTGAAATGTATATGTACTTTGCATAAATATGTGCAGTGCCATCTTTTCACATTGGTGATGATGCGGTTTTATTCTAGGCCTCCAAATCTGTGGAGAAGGTGGCAATTCTTTATTCAATTTACATAATTCTATGAGAAAATAAGTACTTGGGAGGCTGGGGCAGGAAGAAGTGTTTAAACCCGGGAGTTGGAAGTTGTGAGCGGAGATCTTGCTCACTCCAGCCTGGGTGACAGGCGAAACTCCATCTCATCAAAAAAAAAACAAACAGAAAACTGAACTGTGAGAAGTCAGTTGATGTATAGTCTGCTGGTTCTTTTTTTTTGTTTTGTTTTTTGGAGATGGAGTCTTGCTCTGTTGCCCAGGCTGATGTGCAGTGGCGTGATCTCAGCTCACTGCAACCTCTGTCTCCTGGGTTCAAGCAATTCTCCTGCCTTAGCTTCCTGGGTAGCTGGGAGTACAGACATGTGCCACCATGCCTGGCTAATTTTTGTATTTTTTTTTTTAGTAGGGACGGGGTTTTGTCATGTTGGTCAGGCTGGTCTCAATCTCCTGATCTCGTGATTCTCCCATCTTTGCCTCCCCAAATGCTGGGATTTACAGGCATGAGCCACAGCCCCTGACCTCTGCTGGTTTTTTTTTTAATAGCTTTTTAAATCCTCTACTGTCATAGCCAGCTTGTCAGTACTCTAAGTCTGGTCAACTTGATTCTTACAGCCCATCATGTTCAGAGGTGAGGTTCGTCTGAATGTGGAAGAGAAGAAGACTCGAGCTGCCAGGGAAGGGGACCGACGAGATAATCGCCTTCGGGGACCTGGAGGCCCTCGAGGTGGGCTGGGTGGTGGAATGAGAGGCCCTCCCCGTGGAGGCATGGTGCAGAAACCAGGATTTGGAGTGGGAAGGGGGCTTGCTCCACGGCAGTGAATCTTCATGGATCTTCACGCAGCCATACGAACCATAGTTCCTACAGAATGGTGAATTTCTTCGACCAGGCTTTGGTATCTTGGAGTATGACCCCAGTCTGTTATAAACTGCTTAAGTTTGTATAATTTTACTTTTTTTGTGTGTTACTGGTGTGTGCTCCCTTTCCCTCTCTTCCGTTTCCTGACCTTTAGCCTTTCACTTCCAATTTTGTGGAATGATATTTTAGGAGTAACAGATTTTTAAAGAAGAAAAAAAGAAAAGGACTGAATTTCCTTGCTTACTTTGCATATACAGACTGGACTTTTTTTTTTTTTTTTTTAAACCGCCGTTTCCCCAAAGGAATGTGTCTTGCGTATTACTGACATTTGGTATGTTTCATTCATTGGAATATTTCTTATTTTCTACGTGTTTGAAAAGCCTGTGAGACAAACAGGATTTGATAACATTTTGAAGGCAGGAAAAACCCAAATTGTTTCTTCTTTGAGAGTCATGACTTCCTTCTGGTGTGGTGAAATTGCCATTGGAAAATTTGACAGTTTTGATTCTCACTGGTATGTTTAAAAGCGGAATAAAAGGAATAGAATTTTTCTTTTGATACAGGATCACAAAACAATTCTAAAGCCTGTTTTTACCACTGAAATTTAAATTGTGATATATAGGTTTTAAATGTCTAGAATGCAGGTAATAGGCTTTTCTTGAACTTAGTTTTTTTGAAGTAGAGTTTTTCATGTTTAATTTGTATTTGTAAAAAAACCAAAAAACAAAAAAATTCCCCAAACCCAGATAACAACCAGAGCAAAACTGTTGTGCCTTCTATTTATCTTTGATTTCAGTCTTGGCAGTTGTTTAAAGAAAAATAATTAAAAAAAAAAACCTAGATTTGTTTTATTATTAGGTTCAGAGTATGTGGGGAATTGTAGAATCCCTGTTTCATCACCTTATATGTCTTCTGTTAACATATTTGTTATGCCTTATTCTAAAATTGAGTCTCAAACTGGAATGCCTTTGAAGACAGATGCTTCTATAGAGGTTCTTTGGCCTAAATAGTTCAGCATTTGTATTAAGTTTTATCCTGGTATCTAATCAGATTCCTAATCATAGCCCATAAGAAGGAATGTGACTTTAATATTGGACTTTGCTGATGTGCTCGTGTCCGCATTTTTTTCTTTAAATCATAGCCATATGTTAAATTTTCTATTTTGTTATGGTTCTCTTTTATTGATGGGCATGCAGTGGGTGTTTCTTGGAAATGGCCAATTTTTATTAAAATATTTCTGGAAGAAAATTTAATCTGGCAATATAGACTAATACTCGTTTCACATATGTGTTATTTGTTGAGTGCTGTGTGTGAGATGGGTGAAGGTTTTGTTTACAAGTGTGAAGCAAGCCTTTGTGTGATTACTTGTCATTACTAACTGAAGGGCAACCAGGTTGTCAAATTCACTTATTTATTTTCTTAACAGTATTCATCTTGGACTGTCATTTGAGGATAGTACAGGAATATTTGCAGTACTAAGAATCTCTAGGTTTGCTCTGAAGGGGTCAGTTAAGGCTGAGAGACTCTAGGTTTGCTGTGAAGGGGTCAGTTAAGACTACAGTGAAGTTGGTGTTACTAGTTTGGTTCCACTTCTTCAAATATTTGAAAATTAGCAGCATCTCCTTTACATAAACGTGACTGAATCACATGGCCTTTTTGGAGGGTTAGTTTAAGTAACTTTGGTAACCACTTTGACCCAGATCAGTGATCACAGGAAGAAATACAACTTGTACTTTTTGTAGCTTATATTAAGCGTGTGGTGGGTGGAAAGAAAAGTTTAGTTTGAGTTACTTTGGAAAAAAAAATTATGTTGTGGTAATAAATTATAGATAACCTAGAAATTATTCTTCACAAGTGAATACTAAATTATACATTTCAAAACAGGGCATTAACTAGATGCAGCTATCCTCAGCTTGGTGTTATCACATCCTAGAGAACATTTGGAAATGTGTGAGATTTGGAAGGGTTGTTGGAGAGACATGCATCTGGTGTTTATTGGGTGGGGTCTGAGGATACCAAATGTTGTGTAAAAATGAAGCAGCCCCATCGAGAACATGGGTAGTTGCTCTGCCTATGAGTGGGTGGAGCTGTGGGATTAGGAAAACAGGAATGAAGACTCATCCTTTTGAAATTCAGCCTGAGATAAATAACAAATAAACTAATTAGGAAATAGAAATCTATTTCAAGAATTATAGTAACATCTACTCTAAGTAATTAGTAATTTCACTTTCCATTATTTGTACCAAGTGTATGTGTTGTGTTGTGTATGTGTGTGTAAATGTGGAGAGGTGGTAGCAATACATGCTGATGCTGCTCGTAACTTGTGGCAGGGAATTACTGCACAGTCCCAGAAAATAAAAGGCTTCCCCAGTGATTTCAGTCTTCAGAGTTGGGATGATTGTGAGGTTTTGAAGGATGGTATTGGACCTAAGAAATAGAATTAGCATTATGGTCAGCACTATGGAGAATCCTTGTACAATTAAGTACATGATTGCATGTAGACTAAACATGAGAGCTTAGAGATACATATGTTTCCACTGCTGGAAAATGAATATAAGTTAGGGCAATATTTCCTATAGGCGGCAGCAGTAGGAGCTCATCACATTCAACATTTTCAGATTTTAAAATGAAATTTTTCATCTGTAGGAATGGCCCAATGTATAGTTATTGAGCTTAAGACTTACTGAGCTTAGAACTCTTGACCCATGAGTATTTTTATTTTTATAGAGGCAAGGACTTGCTATTTTGTCAGGCTGGTCTCAAGCTCCTGGCCTCATGAGCCCTCCTGCCTTCCAGATAGCTGGAACTATAGGTATACAGCATTGCACGTGGTCTCCTGAGTATTTTAGCTAGGTAAAATTTGTTTGGTTCAGTGAGTCTTAGTTTTTTAAGACCTGTTGATTTATAATGAGAGATCTTGGGCCTTAAAATATATTTTTGTTTCAGTGGTGAGGTTGGGCTTTACTTCGTGTATTCCAGTGTTCTTAATTTTGTCAGATATTGCTAGGGACCAGTGAGATGGATAATCCAAAAATAATAATTCTACTTTGGGTGAGTATGTCACTACCACAGTGTTAGTTGAATTGCACTTTAGTTTTAGGTTAGAAAAGTTAATTTTCACATTTGTGCTGTGGATTAGGTGATGTTATCCTTAGCATAATAGATAAGGAACAAACAGAGCAGTGAAATGACAGGCTTTCAAGTTGTCCATGTAGCAAGGAGCATATTTGACACCCAAACAAATACTTTTTCTCTAGAACCATAATGACCCCCCAGTTACATTTCAGTAACAGACCGTAATGAACTTCCTACTGTAGGGAGACTTGAGTTAGGAATACATTCAGAATAGGGTTAACATTACAGTTCTTAATTTTCTTTAGGGGAGACAAGATAATTAAACTTGGCTTTTGCCAGTTTTTTTTTTGATTTGCAGATTCTATATGGTAACACAATAATGGTGGTTCTTAAGTTTTTTTCTCATCTGGTTTGATGATTTAGTGCAAACTTGAAATCTGGATGTGGATAACTATTTTTATTATAGCATAATCCAGGTGAGTTTACAGAATTTGTGTTTTATGCTTATAAACTGTGACCTGATAATTTTCTTCATCCCTCTATTGGAAAACCGTTGTTAGAAGTTAATGATTTAATGGAAAATGTTGCACTTTATAGAAAGCCATCGTAGAACTTACAGTTAACATTTCTATGGAGCTTAGATTTGTAGACCCCTGTTTATGCTGAGTGACATTTCTTTTAAATGGTTGCATTTGCCAAATCTACTTCTAAAGATGTCTTTCATATTACAGTTTTCTTTTTGTGCTACTTTAGAGAATCTCTGCAGTACTGCATACAGATGAGATAATCGTTGACCTTTTTAGTTCAGCAGTTTTTAACTTTGCAAAAGAAGTAACACCAATGTTTATTTGAATATCAGGTTTTAGCTAACTGCCTAATATACCAAAAAAAAACTTAGCAATGTCTTATGTGGGATGAGGGGTTGAATTAAAGTTGCTGATCAATTTGGCCATGTGGCACTAGATGATAACTAAATTAAGGGTTTCTGGTTCTAAGGTAGTAATGGCTTTTGGGATTTATATTTGTTTAATGTTGAGGTTCTGGGGACCATAGGTGGGCCTGTCAGCTCTTAACAGATTATAGTAAAGGAGAGTTGGTGACGCATGTGAGATAAAACTTGTTTATATTTACATTCTTATTAGATGTCAGGACAACACTGAAATTAAACTGCTGTGTTCACGCTTTGATGTGACAGTCTCAAATTAAGGCCTAAATGAATAAAAAGATGATATAGAGAATACCTAAAACCCTTAACCAGTTTTGGTTTTTGATTGTGCATATGTGTTGGCTTGGAATCAGGTTTTTAGTTTCTGTTTATGTGACTTGTTTGAAAACAGCGGATTCTTCTCTCCACAGTTTCTGTTTGAACCTAGTAGCTTATTTTAATTCCCTGGCAGTAAGAGGAAAATAATACAGGGAATCTGTTCAACTATTTCTTTAATAAATCATGTGACTTGACCAGTTACAGAAATTCATATGTGTTTAATATTTTGAAATGTGGCCTGTGTCCCAGATTTGTAAGGTAACTGCATATAGTGTGTCTTTGGATTTTTTTTTTTAAGTAAATTATGGATTTTTTCTGGATTACCAGAAATTAACTATTGATTTACTGAACCAAGTATTTATTTTCAGGAGCCCACTTATGGGGAAGGTTGCCTGTATTTTTGGTAGTAATTAAAGGGAAGATTAGATCCTGTTTAACCTGTATAGAAACAGTTTTAACTATTGCTGAAGTTAAAATCACTTTGGGGTTGGTTGTGGTGGCTCATTCCTGTAATCCCAGTGCTTTGGGAGACTGAGGCCAGAGGATTGCTTGAGACCATTAATTTGAGACCAGCCTGGGCAACATAGCAAGACCCAGTCTCTACTGATAATTGAAAAATGAGCCAGATGTGGTGGCACATTCCTGTAATGTTGCCTCTCAGGAGGCTGAGGCAAGAGGAATTCCTGAGCCCAGGAGTTGGAGGCTGCAGTGAGCTGTGATTGTACCACTGTACTTTAACCTGGGTGACAGAATGAGGCCCTGTCTCTGAAAAACAAAAAATTACAAAACCAAACAAAAACATTTTGGTTACTCATTGTCCTGATGCTTTGATGTCAGTTGTTCCCCTAAATTTTAAAATTTTGTTACGAAGATTGGATGTACACTGATTTGGCCCTTTAAATGACTATACCAAGAAGCTAGTATAAGGGAGTAGGAGAGGAGAAAACTTTTTAAAAAATTATTTGGTGCATGCTAATGTAGCTTGTAGGGCATGTGGTTTAAAAAATTTTCTGGATTTTGAAGGATAGGGTGGAAGTAAAATTTAGCTGCTAGCATAGGGAACATTTGTGATTTATATAGGAAATATACTTTTCAGTGAGAAGCATCAGACAATTTTTTTCTTCTATTTTGATTATTACCACAAGGAACAGAGAAACTCTCAGAATTCTTTGAATCATAGAATGTTAGTGCTAGAAAGGACCAAAAGTGACTTTATAACCCCTTCATTTTACAAGTGATCAGAGAATTGAGTAGTAGAGTCCCAAATCTGTTTTTAGAAGTAATATGATCATCAGTTTAGGTTCACTGCAGGAAGGCTAGCACTGTTAAAGTTTGTCAGAAGAAAAAGGGAAGGTGTCACTTTTTATATGTTCACCTGGTTGCTTCCGCAGTTTTCATACCCCTGTTTTCTCTATTTTTTTTAGAATTGTCATTAATGGCCCAGCTCTACCAGGGCTTGTTGTCTAAGGACATTAACTTGTGCTCCCCTCAGGGATGGGTTTACTACTAGCTGTCAGAAAGCTATTGGGTATCCTAATGTGTTAATAGCTGAAACTCAGCTGTAATTTCTCCTAAATACTTCAGCATTTTGCATTCTGTACATTGTGGTGCTTTTTCCACCTTGTATTGTAACTGTAAGCTCCTACGGGGCAGCAATTTGGTCTTAGGCATGTACCCTGTTTAGTGCCTGGCAGTGCCATGTTTATATCAAGGTCTTAATATTACTTTTCAGTTATTTCTCCTACTCTTCATGGAAGTAGTGCTCCAGCCTTGCTAAAACACTTAGGGTCCTCCCAATAAGCCAGGCATTGTGATTCCTTGGCTTCAAGTGCCTTCTCTCTTCCCTGAAGGTCCACTGAGATCTACACCCCGCCCCCCCCCCCCCCCCCCCCCGCTTCTTCAGATCTCTCGCCATGTAAGTAATTTTTTAAAAGATCAGTACAAGAGCTATGTTTTTTTCCTAAGAAAAAATTTACAACAGGAATGGGGAGTTGTTTGGGTCTGATCTGAAAATCCTTTTTTGGGTCTGATCTGCCCAGAATTTGAAGTGAGGAACAAATTCATTCTCATCTGTTTTCCACATTGTTTCTCTTGTTTGAGGTCCTGTTTTGACCACCGTTTCTAGAGCATTTTGTGTTTCTCATAGTTCATAACTTGACCCCTTCAATCTAGAATTAGAATTACATTACTGTTTTACTACTTTACTAGACTGTAAGCTCCTAGAAGACAAGGACTAGGGAGTTAATCTCTGTATTCCACCAGAAGGTATAGTGACTCGTAACTAGAGTCTTTAGATGGTAATTTACTGATTTGAATAACTTAATATATTTGTTTTCATTCCTAAGGGAGGCACATTTGGAGATAGACCTTGAATTTAATCAATATTAGGCACTATGCAGTGGAGGAAATTGTTGGGAAATTTTGGGGGATGGATATAGAAGGGGGAGGAAGTCACTGGCCATTTTGAGGTGCTTTCATTATTGGTCTGGGTAACTAGTCATTTCTTCCTGATTGTGCCTAGTATATCCCAGGCAGTTTGTTTCTATGCAGAAGAATTTTATATGAAATTTTCATTTCTTTGCAAAAACTTGTTCCTTTTTTCAGTTCATGAAATCATCCATGCTAAAGTCTGAGTCATCTGCTTCCACTTCTTATTCCCCACATCCAGTCTTCAGCTAAGTCCTGTCGGTTCTACCTCGAGTCTTTCATGTGTTTCTTCCTCACCCATGTAATTTCAGTAGCCTCTCAGCTTCACTTAACCTCTTACTCCAGTCTACTTTATACACAATGTTAGATTCATCTTACTGAAACGTAGCTCTGACCATGTATCCCATGTATGTGTTCTCTCTCCACTATTAGACTGTAAGCTCCTTATGGGCAGGATCTGTGTCTGAGTCATCTTTGTATCTTGCCTAGTACCTACCAATAAATACTTCCTGAATGAACAAATGAATTTTCATTTCTCGACATAAAGCCTTGTCTAAAGTGAGATATTTTCCAGGTTATTCCTAGGTTTGTCTCTGGGGTAATTGGAAGTTCTTGCATATGAAGTTGGTTAAATAGTAATAATTAAGAGTTAACCACAGAAAATTTCAGAAAACTTTAATTTTTTTCCATTGGAATCAGCATGGATATGTGTATATGGATGGTTCAATAAATATACTTTTATATACATGTTTCACAGAAATTTTACATTCCATCTTCAAACTGCAGAAATAGATTTTTTTTTTACAAGCCAAAAAATAACTGCCATAACTTTTATGACTTCATGCAAAAAAAAAAAGGGGGAAGAATAAGTTGTTCAAGGTTGAGTGTCCAGTAAGAAGTAAAAATGTTACATTAAGGAAGCGATTGCTTAACATGCTGCTTAAGGTGGTAGCCAAACAAATCCTTAACTGCAGCATTAAGGCCATACCAAGTTTATACATATATACAAAGAAATTTCCATATAAAAGGCATACGATCACATTTTCTTCTTCATAAGTATAAGGAACTTTGTAATTCTGACCTAATTTTCCAGGCCAATTAATTAAAATGTCCCAGGCTACTTTTTAGAAATCTCTTCTACTTTGGCTAGCTGTCAGAGTCGCTGCTATGTGGGCTTGTGACGTCTGGTCTGGCATGAAAGCATGAATCATCTTGAACCTCTTCCATCATAGCACTATATTGCTTAGCTAATTCACACTGCCCGACTAAGCAAGTAGAATTGTAACTTGTGGTTGCCTTACGTGTAACAGACTCCATAGTCATGTTGGCGTTGTGACCTGAAGAATTACACGGTGCCCTTCTTAGATTCCTTTGGGGTTAAGGTAACTTCTTAAATAATGTGCTAATGAACCAAAGTGTTTCAGGAAACATGCCCTAGCTCTTAGATGTTTGTATCTAACTTTTACCCTTTGTGTGTCATGATACATTTAAGTTGGTAGCTACATTTTTGGAATAAAGGAAATGTAAAATCATTTGCAGAATAATAACCTGGGATTTACTCTTCTGCGTAAACATCAAACCAGGGAACTTTTAAGACATAGGGTACATCTTTTGTGCAAATATCTAAGCGGGCAAAATGGGGAAAACATGAAGGGCAAGTCCTTTGGGGATGACTTCCAATTAATGCAGAAGTCATTCACTTTGGCAAGGTTGGTGGGACTCTGAGATTTCACACTCTTGTCCTGTTGGCAGAAACTAGCTCATCTTAACATTAGTGAATCCTGAGTCAAAATGAAAAGTTGCTAAATTTAAGATAGAGTGTACAAATAACTCCTTCCCCCAGTGACTGCATTTATTTTGTAATTAAACTCATTTTGGAATGTTTTAAATTAAATCCAACTTTGTCATTAATGTTGTCTTAGCAATGATTTGGTATACTCTCTGTTGTCTTGTTCATTGCCAGTTTTCAAGTGTGGCTCCAGTGTGTTTACAACTATGGCCGCAAGGTATTTCAATCTCCTATAGTTTCTCTAGACCAGTCAAGTTTGAGAATGAGGTCTCCGTAAATGGCCCACCCTAGGAGAGAAGACCAAGTGATTTGTGATTTGGAAGCATTGTGGTATGTTTGAACACTTGCAAAGTTAACAGTCACTGAGTATTCTAATCATGCACCAACCACTCTTCGCCCTAAATGCACTACAAGTTATTGCAGTAATTTGCATCAATTCTAGTCAACAAGTCTACTGTGATGCTGATCTTAAACAATGAGACTGGAATCTCAAAGCTTTGGCAGTCTTGGAACATCAAGAGGGCTTAAAAGTATTAGGGTTTTTGTCTTGGTCACTTTGTGGTTTCACTTTGTCCATTTCAAATCCAAAACAGCTGAAGATACGTTTCATCCAATTTGTCAGACATACTTGGAGGCCACTGAGGTCTCTGCTATGTTTGTTTTGAAAGTAGAACTCAAGCTGTTTAGTTTTTTTTTTTTCCTTTTGAGAACATTGCATTAACCTTTTGTCTAATATACACAAGAATCACATTGAGTAGGTATTTTATCTATGTCCATTCAATATACTAAGCAGGTGGGACCTCTTTAGGATTTAATTTACCTATTCATTTTAACTGTTAGTGTTGAAGATATAATGGCTTAAGTATTGGAAGATTGAACCATTAAAATATGAAGTATGAATTTAAAACACTGTGAAGTACCCTATGGGAACTCAATGTTTTAGCCTTTTCTATACCATTCAGGCTAAATTGACATGTTGAGCATGGTATGCTCAACAAAGGTGAGGTACAACTATATCTAATATGGAAAAAGTTGGGTTTAGCAAAGTGCTTACTTGATATGTAAACACCAACTTTAAAAAAGATTTGAGGCAATCTTTAATTTACTATGGTAGGTTATACTAACTTTTCCTTTCCCCAGAGTGTCTGTTCAAAGGATTTACTTAAGAAATATAACCTTTTGTGAAAGAAACTTCCTTTTTCATACTTGGACTAGCAATGACTTAATACCAATCCGTTACTTTTTTTTTTTTTAAGCTTATGTGGCATTATCCTTTTAGAACGATCTTCATGTTTTGCTATTAATCTGGCCTTCTTTTTCCCTCTTGGAGCTAAAGCTTGATTTTTAGGCAACTGCCACAATTGACGGAAATTTCTCCTACCATCATTACTTTTAAAAATGGACATAGATGTATGTCTGGATGGGGCAAGAGTANTTTTTTAAACGGGGTTTCACCATGTTGGTCAGGCTGGTTTTGAACTCCCAACCTCAGGTGATCTGCCCACCTTGGCCTCCAAAGTGCTTGGATTATAGGTGTGAGCTGCCACGCCCAACCTTTTTTTTTTTTAAATTTAAAAAAAAAATTTTTTTTTTTTTACATGTTTGTGTTTATTTTTTCTACTCATATTTGGCCTTTTTCCCCCCTTTCTATGCCTTTTTTTTGTTTTGTTTTGTTTTTTTGTTTTTAATGGACCTGATTTTCATGCTTTGAATAGAGACACTGTTGGGAGAAGTAATTTCAGATGCAGTTGAGGGTGTAAAAAAGGATGTGCTAGACTATGTTTACCTCAGGTCTGCTTAGTATTTCAATTAGATCAATAAAAGGAAATATTTAGAGCAAAAGCTCTTTAGAAATACCTTCATTATACTAAGTATTGCCTTGGTAAACAACTCACAGTAAAAACTTTTTCAGAATCAGTATAGAATAGTGAGCTCATAGTAGAACCATAACTTTACCATACTTATCTCCTTTCTAATGGCTGGCTACCTAGGACAAACTAAATGCCCAGTACTTACTAGTTCACATTGACACTCTTGAATATGTGAATTTCTAGTGGGTACTCTACTTCTGAGACAGGAAAAGTTAAGTTCTCTCAAAATAAGTACAGGAAAATCTGAGTGGGCTGAAGGTGTTGGCTAATGGAAAGAAGGTAGAAAGCTGCTGTTTATGAGGGAGCACCCTTGGTTTGCCTTTGAGAACTGCTGCACTTAATGAGTCCTGACCCTTTATCCTCTATTTTAAGCTTTCAATGTAATCTAAATCTATCTTTGCAAACATGTCTTCCATTCATTACACTTTATCCAAGTGGATAATCACCTTGCATGTGCTGCCTATTTTTTAACCACCATATTTTTGCTCATACTGTTCCTTCTGCCTGGAGTCTTGTCCCCATCTGTCAAAATCTCATCTATTCATTACTACTCACATTCCACAATTTAATTTCTACTCTCTCCCTGGCACCCTCCTCCTTCTGTTACATACTGCATCACACTTCAGTAATGATATTGGTGCTTCTATTATCCCCTCCTATGTTGCAGGAAAAGGGGTTGTGTTTTTATTCTGATGCCCTGCTTTCATGGTATACCAATTTGCCATAATAGATTTAATATAGAGCGAGTGGAAAGGCAGGTATAGGAAAATTAAAAATCTGAATAGAAAATGAGATAATATATGTATGCATATGATGTTTTATGTAATAAAATATATTCTAGTTCTTCCTGAGCCCATTTTATACTCTGAAAGAAGACTAAAATACTTTCTCCAGGCTAAGGAAACATTAAGAAATCATCCCAAAATATGTACATAGCAGTTACCTGGAGACCCACTAAACCAGACTTGGGTCACTAAATAGGGACCAGAGTGCCACTTTTCTGAACAACATCCAGAGCTGAGCAGAAGGGGTACTGTGCTGGCCCTTAGAGCAGTAGCTAAGACATTCCTGACATCACTGCTGTAGCTCGTGGTCCTGTCAAGCCAAAGACCAACTGAAGAGACAGGTGAGGCCAGGTGGGTTCTATGAAGCACAGTCGTGGAGGCCTTCTCCCATAAACTCATCTGGCTAGTTTGCACAGATGGTTAAGCCAGGAATAAAAGGACTTCAAGACAAGCAGGAGCATCTGCTTTTTTGGAGAGGGGACAGCTCTGTTGACACATTTCCTTTGTAATTTCATTTTCCTACTTCATGTCCAGAGCTTGGGTGGGAGTAAAGAGCCGTTAGAAACTGATACATCCAACTGCTATGGAAAAGAACCTTTTGTTTAGAATCTGAGCTCAAATGTCCCGTCCTCCCAGACCTTGAATTGATTGTCTCTTGGATTCCACTCATACAAAGCATATATAATATCCCTGTTGATAAAGACAGTGTTTTCTGAAAATAAGAAGTGTTGAAGCCTTAGGAGTGTGAAAGCATTTCAGAAACATTTCCAGGGTGAGGTCTTGTTTGAGGGTGAATATGGAGAGAGCTGGCCCAACTCCAGCCACATCTATAAAATTGCTTCTTTTTATTAGTGTAGTCAGTTAGTGGTATGATTTAGATAAACCCTCTGGTGGTGTGGAATGGTCCCATGTTTTCTGCTGTAACTGTACCTAGAGTAACAGGGACACACCAGGGAAAACATTGTTAATTCTTAAGTTTCTTATGACTAAATTGGGAGTGGAGGAGGGGGAAACGGGAAGGAGTCATTACAGTTATTTCTCTAAGGATATTTCACAAGTTCTGCTCTGATGCA